CTATGGCCTGTATCAGACACAACTTAGCCTCCAGAGAGACACCATTGCTCTTCAGCACTTTGGAGAGGTCCCTAACAGCAGACTTTCCCATTGCAATACGTCTTTTAATTTCCTGGCTACTGGTGCCGAGAGTGTTGACTGTGGAGCCAAGCAAACTAAAGCTGTGAGCAATCTCAATCTCTTCACCATTCATCCTGATGCTGCCAATTGGTCCAGTGTGAGAATCTTTGTCTTCTTGACATCGAGCCTCAATCCATATTAGAGGCTGCAGTCCTTGACCCTATTTCTTCCCATCCCAAAGAAGGGTGACCCAACAGAGTGTGGAACTCTTTGTTCTGGCATCATAATTTTTTTACATATTATGTATATTTCAGATTACATAAAAATTTTCATGTTTCTAGAGTTCCTCTTTTATGTGCTTATATTTTGAGTTGGCTACTTCTTTGTGATTTAACGTAAGGATGGCACATACGTGCAGTCTCTTTCATATTCCAGTTGATTGGTAATGACTCCCACAAGCTGTGATGCTAAGCTCTAAGATACTAAGGCTGCACATAAGGATCACCTGAAAAGTATTTCAAACTCAACAGCCACACCCTCATCAGGTCAGTTTCAGCATTTCTTGTTACTGGGCACAGACTCAGGTCGTTGTAGCGTACAGCTAAGGTTAAGAATCATTGATCATTGTGTACCAATGAGGGAGTTTTTCTTTTGCGTTTCAAGGAGAGGAGCAAATGGGGGGAGGGGGGAGGGGTTTGTGTGGGGAGAAGGGTGCAACAATAAATGAATGGAATCCCAAAATCTCTGTAGATGTTCATTGAAATGAAAAATAAACAACCTAAATTTAAAAAAAACAACAACAAAAAAAGAATCATTGATACAGGGCAAAGGGGCTCACACTGCAAGATGACTCTCTAGCTGTTGTTGGGTGCCATGGAGTTGTTTAAATATATGACATAATACATGTCTATATGGTTTCCAAGACTGCAGTCTTTATGAAAGCTGACTACCATATCTTTCTCCTTCAGACAGCTGGTGGGTTCAAACATCTAACTTATCAGTTAGCATGTAAACACTTAACTGTGGGTACATGTAGGGCTCCTTGCTAAGGCCACAGATTGTCAAACTATATCCCTAAAGATTCTATTTTGGTAGAATTTGTATTTCTAACAAGTTTCCAGGCAGCATTGAGCCTTCGGTTGTGGACCTGCACTTTGAAAAAAAATGAAATAAAGCATTGTGTTAAGAAGGAACGTTTTAACTATCAATGGTGGTGTTGTATACCATCGAGTTGGAATCAATATATAGATGTCTCTCAAGTAGGTTTTTAGAGCTAGTAAATCACATGGTGGGTTCAAACCACATACCTCTGCCTTGGCAGCTGACTTCCTTACCACTATGCCACCAGAGCTCCTGTCTTCAGAAGTGAATAAAGATTCAGTGGAGATTACAACAAGAGTAATTACAACCAAAAGATACATGTGTAGTTATGTAGGTAGAGATGTGTGTGTGTGTACACACACACGAATGCATATGTGAGTATCTGGGTGTACATGTATAGCTATTTCTACATTGTTGCTGTTGTTAGGTGCCATCAAGTTGAATAGGATTCATAGCAACCTTATGAATGGCCGGGTTAAACCGTGACCTATTCTGTACCATCCTTATCATCTCCGACACACTGTAGAGTCCATTGCTGAATTCACCATGTCAGTTCATTTCACTGAAAGCCTTCTTCTCTTTCCCCGACCCTTCATCTTTGCAGGTATGATATCCCTCTCCAAGGACTGGCCTCACCTAGCTATATGTCCTAAGTGTGAGAGATAAGATTTCACTATCTTTGCCTCCAAAAAGCACTCTGGCTGTACTTTTCCCAAGACATACCTGTTTGTCCTTCTGACAGTCCATAGTAGAGTCAGTACTATTCTCCAACACCGCAACTCAAAGGCAACAATTATTCTTTTGTCATTTTTATTCATTGTCCAGCTTTCATATTCATAGCAAGTAATTGAAAAGATCATGGCCTGAATCAAGCACACCTTAATCTTCAAATTGATGTCATTGCTCTTCAGCGTTTCAGAGAGGTCCTTGATAGTAGCCTTGCCTGGAACAATGTACTTCCTTGTCTGCTGACTGCTGGTATCAAGGGTGTTGATTGTGGATCCAAGTAAGATGCAATCATTAACAATTTCAGTTTGTTCTTCATCTATCAGGACGTTGCCTACTGGCCCATGGTGAGAACCTTTGTTTTCTTGATGTTGAGATATGATCTTTATTGAAGACTGGAATCTTTGATCTTCTGCAGCAAGTGCTTCAGATCCTCTTCATTTTTAGCAAACAAGGTTGTGTTATATGCATAATGTAGGATGATGAATCTTATGCCATCTTTTTGGCCATCTTCTTTTTTTAAAAAAATTATTGAGATTTTAACGAAAGTTTATAAAACACTTAGATTTCCATTTATTCATTGTTGCACTTTTTCCTCCCTCCCCTCTCCCCAGTTTATTTTTCTCTTTAAAAAATTCTTTCATTGTTGCTCAGTTTCCTCCCCAACCCCCCAGTCCACTTTGCTATACACCTCTTATTCTGTTCTGTTGTCATACAAATAATACCTAATAATATATTCCTTTTAAACAGTTTTCCCCCTCATCTATTTCAATACAATGTACATTATTTATCTCCTCTTAATTTTCTCCCAATCCCCATGCCAGTTCTGTTTTATAACAGTGGCATTATGCAGTATTTGTCCTTTTGTGACTGAGATATTTAATTTGTTATGATCCACACAGTCAAATTCCTTTGCAAAGCTGATAAAACACAAATAGACATTCTTCTGGTACTCTATACTTTCAGCTATGATCCATTTGACATCAGCAGTGATATCCCTAGAGCCATGGTCTTTTCTAAACCCAGCTTGTATTTCTAATAGTTCTCTATTGATGTACTGCTTTAGTACTTTATGGATAATCTTCAGCAAGATATTACTTAACTGTCATATTAATGGTATTGTTCAATAACTTAGGTCTTCCATTCCTACTGAATGGAAGACATCCATATTTATTACCATTCCCCAAAATGTTGATCTAACAGAATTTGGAAACTATTTAACAATATCTCCAAGGCTAGACCATGTAAATTTGAACTCCCAAGCATCCTAATACAATACGTACTACAACGTAGGACTCTACTGCATCCAGTGGCTATCAGCTTCTACCTCACCTTGGGGTCTATGATCTCTGTCTGTGGTTTATATTTATTGTTAGAAGAAGGAGCTCTGGTGACTTCGTGAGTAAGGAATTGCACCGACAATGTAAAGGTTTATGGTTCAAACCCACCAGCTGCTCCATGAGGGGGAAAAATGGACAATCTCCTCCTATGTGATTTACTGCCTCTGAAAACCCACTGAAAGGTCAGCTATGGGTCAATTCTAACTTGATGGTATTCAACAACAACAACAATTGTTAGAGGTGACGTGATTACCTTCAAATATGAGTTAATTTTGTCCAAATCGTTGGCTGAGACCTAAAATAGAGTGAGATCCAGCATCCCAGGTCCATTTTGGTAAAAAAAAAAAAAACAACTAAAGAAAACCTAAAGAAAGTCAAGCAGTGGCTTGGGGGCAGAGAGAGAGGTGATATGGAGAATAAGTTGTTGTTGTTGTTATGTGCTGTCGAATTACCTGCAACTCATAGAGACCCCAAGTACAACAGCTCTAAATCCTGTGCCAATCTTATTGTCTCTGGCACACCTACCCCACTACCCCAGCCACAGAATCAAGCCATCTCATCAGGAGTCTTCTTCTCTTGCTCTGTCCCTCCACCCTCCCAAGCATGACCTCTCTTTTCAAGGACTGGGCCTACCTTGCAACATGTTCAAAGTATGTCAGACGAAGCTTCAGAATCCTTGCCACCAAGGAATAGCCTGGTCTCACCCTCTCTAGGATGAATTTGTTTTCCCAGCAGTCCATGGTATATTCAATGCTCTTCTCCTGTTCCGCAGCTCAAAGGCATCAATTCTCCTTCTATCATCCCTAGTCATTGTCCAGCTTTCCGATGCATAGCAAGTAATAACAAAGACCATGGCCTGGATCAGGTGCACCTTAGTCTCAAGACTGACATCGTTGCTCTTCAGTACTTTGGAGAGGTCTCTTCTCATATTTAATTTATCCTTAAACCTGTCTGAGTTACGTATTGTTGTTTTTGTGCTGTCAAGTTAGAACCAACCCATAGTTGATCCTCCAGTCAGTTGGCAGGGGCAGTAAGTTGCACAGGAGGACTTTACCTGTTTAGTGGAGTAGTTGGTGAATTTGAACTGCAGGTCTTTGGGATTGCAGCTTAGCTTCTTACCACTAGGCCAAAATAAATGCTACAATAAGAATGGGGATTTATTTTTTCCCAGCTCTAGAGAGTGTGAATTCAGGATGTCAGTTCTAGGGAAAGGTCTGTCAATTTCTCTTTCAACTTCTAGTAGATACAGTCAGTTCTTACAGGCTCTGGGTTTTAGATATCTCTGCCTTCATCTTCACATGGCTACTTCCTCCTACATGCATTTCTCTCACTCTTTGTTTGTTTCCCTTTCTGCAAGAGACCACTCCAAAAGTATTAGGTTTAGAACTCACCCTATTCTTCTATGTACTTATTATCAGAACAAAAGAAAAATACTAATCATATTATTCTCAAACAGTGCTGCATTCACAGGTACAGAGATTCTCTTACTCATTGCCCTTGAGTTAGAACTCCCTTATAGCCAACCCTCTAGCAGGTTTCCAAGGCTGTATATCGCATGTGAGAAGACTGCCCATCTTTTTCTCTTGGAGCTGTTGGTAGATTCAAACCACCAGTGAAGCAGGGCCTTTTGCAGTGCAACTCCCCAGACTTTGCTATACCAGCTCCCTGGTACAGAGATTAGGAAGTCACTGATCTTTTTTTTCTTTTTCTCCCCAAGGGGAACCACAATTCCATCTGTAACAGACCTCACATTACTTGCCTGTTATCTTTCAGATCAGAGAGACCCTGTAGATCACAACAGCAGTCCACAAGCCGAATCCAACAATGGCCAGGCAGAGACTTCTAGCACCTCTGCTGCTGTTACAGAGAAAAATTGGTGAGTCTTACCCATTTGATTCCTCAGGCCCTCTGTACTCATGGGCAGGGATACAAAAAGATTTTTATCCTTGCACTACTTTGTTGAGTTAGATGGAAACAAAAACTATGTACCATTGGATTCAACCATAGTACTTTGTTTGCACTAATCTTTGTTCTATAGGCAAGTTGGCTAGAATCTTGCTGAGCACATTCTCTTCATTTGAAAGCAATAGTTGTTAAATGTGACTAACATGGTTCTTTTATTTTTAAATTGTGATTTTAACAGATTTTACTGAAAGGTTGAGTTTCATTCATTCATTGTTATGCATGAATCTCCCTGCCTCTCCCTTCACCCTCCCCAAGTCTACTTTGTAATGCCCCTCTTGTTTCAGATTGTTAATTGTCATTCTTATAATGCCTAATCATACATTGCTCTCAGACAGTCCTTCCCCTCATCTACTCCCGTCCGGTACTCATTGTTTATTCACTCTTTCCCCATTCTCTTGCCCATTTCCATGTCAGTTCTATCCTATAAACAGCAGTATTATACAGTAGTTGTCCTTTAGTGACTGAGATATTCCACTCAGAATAATGTCTTCCAGGCTTACCAGTGTTGTGCAGTGTTTAACAAGTTCATTGTTTTTTCAATACTAAGTAATATTCTATTGTGTGAATGTACCAGTCTTTCCTATACACACATTTGTTGATGGGAAAATGGTTCTTTTCAACCTAGTGTAGTTCAGGGGGTGGAGTGGGAGAATTATTTGCAATGTCTAGAGACATTTTTGGTTATTACAACTTTGGTTGGAGGTTTTTTTTGTTACTAGCATCTGATGGATAGAGGCATCAGGGGTGTTGCCAAACATCCTGCAGTGTAATGCACAGCCCCTCATAGTAAAGAATTGTCCAGCCTCAAATGTCAATAATGCAACATTGAGAAACCTTAAATTTAAGCTACAGAAAACCATTCCATTGAGCTGAAAGTCAAGAACTTCACTGCACTACTAAGAATCCATAACTCTAGAATAAAGGGGCTAAAATCCACAGAGTATAGTTTAAAAGAGGTATGCATTACTTAACATTCATGACACCTTCTGTGAAGTAGGATGTTAGAAGAATTAGACATTGTGAAGATAATATGTTGAAATTGAATAGGAGACCACCTCCAGTCATCTTCAACACTGCTGCTGTCAATATTGCTTCTGCTAAGGTTATTAGCAGAGGCCAGATAAATGGATAACAGTAGTGGAAGAACAGCAGGGAAGAAATGAAGCATGCCCAGTCCTGACCACTGGCCCATTCACCTGAACAGTAGGAGCAGCCTAGACCCCCAGCTGCCACTGCTACTTGCCTGCCCACCCACCAAAGGTTGGAGAGCTTGTGCCCAGAGTCATGTCCTATGCCTCATAAGACTGGATCCCACCCAGAGTCTAGTTTGAGGTCCTTAATACTATCAGGAGGAATGGATAAGGATAAGGAGAGTAGATTTCTCTTTTAAAAAAACACAAAGTAAATAAGACAAAAACCTTATGGTACAGTTGACATTATATGTAGTTGGATGTTGGCCGAACAGGTGTTAGCAACCTGTTTCAAAATAAATAGAACATTCACATGCAAAAGAATAAACTTAAGCTGTTATCTCACATTATATAAAAAAATTTACTCAAGGTGGATCATATTTCTAAATTGAAGAGCTAAAAACTATAAAGCCCTGAGAGGAATGCATGGGGTAGACCTTTAAGAATTTGGATTTGGAACTGAATTCTTAGATATGATAGCAAAAGCACAAGTAACAAAAGAAAAAATAAAAAATTGGAATTTCTGAAGATTAAAAACCTATACATCAAAGAATATTATTAAAAGAATGAAAAGATTACCTACGAAACTGGAAAAATACTTGTAAATTATAGTAAGAGTCTAATTTATTGCTGTTAAATGAATTCCTACTTATGGTGACCCCGTAGTACAAAACTGTCCCATAGTGTTTTCAAGTCTGTGTGGTACAGAAGCAGACACCCACATCTTCTCCATATGGATGTGTGGACAGGTCCAAACTACCAAACTTTCAGTTAGTAGTTGAGGACTTAACCCCTTCAGGACCAGGGGTCCTTGATAATGTTTTAGCAGTCAGGTATATAAAGAATTACTGCAATTCAATGATAAAAATATTGCAAAAAAAGAAAACAAAAAGTTAAAATGAGGTAAAATATTTAGACCATTCTCAAAAACAGAAACAATTAAAAGGGACAGAGAGATAGATACAGGTGGGAAACACATGAAAAGGTATTCAACATCATTCATCACTATGGAAATGCAAATCTAAAGCACAATGAGAAGTCACTTCACATCAGTGGAGTACATTCTCCCACCCCTCCCCACTCCATGAAAGGGTAGGGAATTATGCCAAGGACTACGATGTGGAGAAACTGGAACCCTCACTCATTGCTGGTAAGAATGTACTATGGCTGCTGTGGAAGACAGTTTTGCAGCTCTTCAAAAAGATACAGAATTTCCATATGACCTGGCATTTCTTTTCCTAGGTATATGACCAATATATTGACTTAGTGACTGCATCTTTTGATTGACTTGTGGCCTTGTGGCAAGAAATTGTGCTGCAATCCCAAAGGCACCAGCTGTTCCACAGGAGAAAGATGGGCAATCTCTTGTGCGAATAACTGCCTCTGAAAACCCACTGGAGGGTCAGCTATGGGAAATTCTGACTCGATAGTAAACAACAGCCAAAACATGACCAAAAGACTTGAAGACAGGAATTTTAAAAAAATGCACAAAATGTTCATAGACATGCTAGATAATGTACTGCAAGGTGACTGAACCATGGAAGCATTATGCTTATAGAAAGAAACCCACATGCAAAAGGCCACAGTTTGTATGATTCCATTTTCATGGACCATTCAGATTAGGCATATATCTATGATATAGAAACCAGATTAGTGGTTGCCATGGGAAAGACCGTCAATGAGAAAGAGTGACACAGTGGCCACCACAATGAACTTGGGCATGACAGAGAACATGAGGACTGTGCAGGATGGAGCAAGGTTCAGAGCCATGGTTCACAGGGTCGCTCTGAGTCACCTCAACAGCACCTAATAACAACAACAGGGGCTAGTGGGAGAGAAGGTTAGGGAGAGACTGCTTATTGGGTATGGGCTTTCCCTTTGAGGTGGTGAAATGCTCTGGAACTAGGTGGTGGTGATGATTAAATAATATTGTGAATATACTACATGGCACTAAACTAGACATTTAAAAATGAGTAAAATGCTGAAATTTTTAATGTGTATTTTTCACAATAAGAGAAATAATGAAGTAGGGCAGAGCTTGCCCAGGGCCATCATGCACAATTTTCAATGTACATGTGAGCTTCTTTAAGTCAGGCGAGTCTGTGACATCAGGCAGCGGAGAGTCAGGTTGCTCACAGCCCTGCTCAAAGTCTATCTTCTTACGGGAGAGGTTCCCAGACCCCCACCACATGTGTCTTCTGGAGGAAGACACTGCTACAGGAAGAAGTGGACGGTGGCAAAGGGAAAGTCATAGAATGAAGTTTGCTTTTTGTCCGAGCTGATTGTGAGGGCTCTTCATTAAAAGGCTACTCCAAGATTCAGAGTAAGAAGCAGTAATTATAAAGTTCTTGGTATCTTTTCACCTAGAAAAAGAGATGTCCCTGATTTGCAATTTTTAAAAGTAATTCTAAATTTTTTGAGACTTCTTATTAGTATTTTTGAGACTTGGCAAATTAAATTCTAAATGCTTCTCAAGTTGCCCTTGGACTAAATTTCCCTAGAGTCAGAATAGCTTATCTAAATATATCTGAAGAAATGTTATAGATTTAACATCTCCTATTAGAATACCAAATTTTAGAATTTATGATGCAGCAAAAACCCCCACTGAACTTGAAAGAGTTGGGTTCTAGTTCTAGTGCTAATATTTTCGAACACCCAAGAGCTGTTTGCCTTTGAGCAAGTCGGTGAACTAGTTTGCAAAGTGGCTTCAGTTCCAGCCAGCCTCAGTCACACCTAATAACTTACCCTGTGACTTTTCTAAAAATATTAAGGACAATGTTGTGCACTCCTTCCACTTTGCCTTCTTCCGCATTAGAACTTCTCCTTGGCTTAACCTGGCCTTTTTTGCTGTGCTCTTCTCTCAAAAAACCCCACAAGTCTTCTTCCCTGCAAAAGGAACCTCCCCACACACACTCCTGCCTTCCAGGCACTGCTTCCAGCAGCCCAGCCTCACCTTGTCTTTCTCTCTCTCTTTTCTTTGCTGCTTCTTGTTGTTAGGTGCTATTGAGCGAGTAGGACTCATAGTGACTCTATGAACAGCCAACCTGAACCCTGCCGTATTCGGTGCCGTCCTCATCCTCCCTGACACACTCGAGCCCATTACTGAAGCTACTGTTTCAATCCATTTTGTTGGGGTCTTCCTCTCCTTCAGTAACCCTCCATCTTTCCAAGCACGATATCCCTTTCCAAGGAATAGTCTCACCTAACTCTATGTCCAACTATGAGAGAAGAAGTTTTAGACCTAGTTCTCACGGAAGGTTGCCTTGTGGCTCCATCTTTCCTTAACTTCCCTCTCAAGCTTCTTCAGATACATACCCTGTCTTGCCCCTTCATTCATTCTCTCTGAATCTAGACATTGGATTTGGGCCTGCCCCCAAGACTGCTCTTGGTAAGCTCACCTGTCCCTCACTGGATCCTCATCGTTATAACACTCTTTTCAGCACTTCATTCACGATCTAGTCATACTTCTTATGAACGATCCTCTCCCATGGGCATCTGTAGTGTTGCATTCTTCAGGTTCTTTCTCGGAGACATCCTCAGTTTGTCTTCTCTTTCCAATCTCCCTACCCTATCACCCGATTGAAATGCAGTCAATTCTCCACATCAATTCTTCTTTTTTTCCTCAATATCTCACCTAGGTGGTCTTATCTCTCCCACTTATATTCTGGTATCAATTTTTAATGGTGTGAATACAATCCCAAATCTATGTCTGAGCTC